GCATGTTTTCAAGCAACTAATTAGAAAACAAAAGAGTTCTGATGATATTTATTCACTAAGCCGGTGAAGCAGGTCCTGCCACTGAGATGAGCTTAAGGGAAGTAGCTGGAGAGAAGAGAATATAAAAATTGTAAAAAAAAAAAAATCCTTTTCAACAAGAAAATATGAAAATTCACCACTTATACTAGAGCAGCAGTTTTCTCTGGTATGTAAGAGTGTCTCCAGTTATTTCAAATTATGACATGAGTCTCTAAATAAAATGAGTCTTATAGCATGCTATTCTCAATAGCTCTGACAGCTCTCTTAGGAAGGGAGAATGTTGTGAAATGCAGCAAATGAGAAGAAAGTGTTGTAATTCAAAACAGGTTGAAAATCATACACTGGAGGGAGAAAATTAAATGCTTTAATATCTATAAAATAAAAATAGGCTATACACCCAATGTATCTGAGTCAATAAATGTTTCTCTCCATTTACTACAGAAATAAGAGGTTCCAGTTTGCTGGGGTTCAAGTCATGCTTCAGGAAGAGATGTACATAATTCAGTAAGTTGGGAAATATAAATCCAAAGTTGAAGAGCATGGTTTTATAAAATGTTATGATTCAAAGGTGAATCTTCAGCTTCCAACTTGAGCCTTATTTTAGTGATATGTTTTCCTTGGTGATACATTGTTCTTTCACAGAGAATGAATCAGCCATAATCAGAAGTATTATAAAATTCAAAGAACCAGTAAGAATGACACATTCATCTGAAGCTGAAATTGCATTTCACATGCACAGGTGTGAAAAGTATATTTTAGCCATTTATTGACCTAAATAATGCAATATTGCAGCTTCCCCCGAAGAGAATATAACATGGCAGTTTCCTCTCAGGCTCTACAATTTTTTGAAGTTTATTCCAGTGTCCTAATTTCCCAAAGAAGCTTCCAATGTATCATACTTTAGTGGCATTGCTCTTAACAGCACTGAAACATCTGCCTATTTTGGGGTGGGAGATAGACATGTGTCATGGACTGAATGTTTGTGACCCCCAAAAAATCATATGTTGAGGCCCTACCTCCCAGTATGATGGCATTTGGAAGGTGATTAGGTTTAGATGAAGTCATGAAGCTGAAGCTCCCATGACGGGATGAGTGGCCTTCTAAAAAGAGGAAAAGCTCACTGGCCCTCCAGTATGTGAGGACACAGACAGAAGGTGGCCAGCTGCAAGCCAGGAAGGGAGCTCTCTCCAGAACCTGGCCATGCTGCCACCCCGATCTCAAACTTCCGGCCTCCAGGACTATGAAAACCAAACTTCTGTTTTTTAAGCCACCCAGTCTATGATAGTTTGTTATGGTAGCCCAAGCTAAGACAACATGTCTTAATCCATTTTCTGCTGCTATAGAGAATACCAAAGACTGGGTAATTTATTAAGAAAAGAGATTTATTTGAGTTATGGTTCTAAAAGGTGGAAATTCCAAGAGAGAGGAGCTGCATGTGGTGAAGGCCCTCTTGCTGCATCAGAACATGGTAGAAGTCATCACACAGCAAGCAAGTGTGTGAGACAGAGAGAGGATGGGGGACAAACTCATCATTTTTATCAGGAAATCACTCTCACAATAATTAACTTGCTCCTGAGATAATGGCATTAATCCATTCATGACCTAATCTCCCCTTAAAAGTCCCGTCTCTCAACACTTGTTACAATGGCAATTCAAGTTCAACACGAGTTTTGAAGGTGACAGTCAAACCACAGCAATATGCAAAAAGCCTGTTCCAAAAAGTCTGTTCCTCAGAGTCCCATGTAAAAAAATCATGACTGTATTTCATGCATTCATTCATCTATTTATTCATTTATTTAAAGATGTGACTCCTGTAGTTATTATTGTTGCATAGCAAATGATCCCAGAATCTAGTGGCTTGCAACAATCATTTTAGAATGCACATTGATACTGTGAGTCAGGAACTTGAACAGAGCACAGCTGTTGATTAATCTCTGCTCCACAATGTCTGGGGCCTTAGCTGAGAGAATTTGACTCCTTGGAGGTGACTAAACGCCTGGAAGCTGAAATCACGCAAATGCCTGTTCACTCACAAGCCCTGAGCCTCGGCCAGGATGACTCATACTAGGGCTGCCAGCAGAGCGTGCATACATAGCCTGCCCATGTGGCTTGGCTGCCTCACTGCATGGTGGCCTCAGACTAGTCAAACTCCTGACATGGTGGCTCAGGGCTCTCAGCACAAAAGTTCCAGCAGATACCATAGAAACTTCATCATCTTTCATGGCTCAGCCTCAGAATTCAGCCGGGAGCCAGCATCGCTTCTGCCATACTCTGCTGGTCTAGACAGTTACAAGTCCACTCAGATACAAGGAGGGGGAAGATAGACTCCACTCCTTGATGGGGAGGGGGGTGCTGTCAACTATTTGGGGGTTTTATTTTTAAAACCACCATAGAAGCATACCAAGATAGAGCACAGGATGTTTATTACTAGGAATAAAAAAAAGAATATGACTGCAGACCTATCAGAGTTTTAAAATAATAAGGAATATTTTGAAAAACCTTACACCAATCAATTTAAAAAGAAAAAAGGACAACTTCTTAACAATATATACTAAAACTGAAATAAAAAGAAATGCAAAACCTAAAGAGACTTATAAGCACCAAAGAAATTGAATCAGTGGTTAGAAATCTAGTTACCACCAACCAACCTCCCACACACATGCACCAATTCTCAAAAAAGATATATAAATGGCCAATGAGTATTAGTAGTGATATTTAAGAAAGCAGACAACATACACTGGGGAAGGGAAGCCCTATTTAATAAACGTTGCTGTGAAAACTGGGTAGCCACATGCAGAAGAATAAAACAGGATCCCTACCTCTCACCATATACAAACATTAATTCAAGATGGATAAAAGACTTAAAGATAAAGCATGAAACCATAAAAATGCTAGAAGAAAATGTAGTAAAAACTCTTCTAGACATCAGCCTAGGCAAAGAATTTATGACTAAGATCCCAAAAGCAATTACAGCAAAACCAAAAATAAATAAATGGGACTTGATTAAATTAAAAAGCTTCTGCACAGTAATGGAACTAATCAATAGAGCAAATAGACAACCTACAGAATGGGAGAAAATATTCACAAACTATACATCAGATAAAGGGCTAGTATCCAGAATCTACAAAGAACTCAAACAGGGCCAAGTGTGGTGGCTCGTGCTTGTAAGGTGGCTCATGCCCAGCACTCTGGGAGGCCAAGGCAGGAGGATCACTTGAGGTCAGGAGTTCGAGACCAGCTTGAGCAAGAGCAAGACTCTGTCTCTACTAAAAATAGAAAAAGTTAGCCAGGTATGGTGGCACACACTTGTAGTTCCAGCTACTCAGGAGGCTGAGGTGGGAGAATTGCTTGAGCCTGGGAGTTTGAGGTTGCAGTGAGCTGTTATGATGCCACTGCACTCTAACTGGGTAGACAGAGTAAGACTCTGTCTTAAAAAAAACTAAAAAAGAACTCAAACAAATCAGCAATAATAAAACCAATAACCCCATTAAAAAGTGGGCAAAAGACATGAACAGAAGTATTCCAAAGAAGATAGACAAATGGCCAAAAAATATATGAAAAAATTCCCAACACCAGTAATCATCAGGGAAATGCAAATTAAAACCACAATGAGATATCATCTTACCCCTGTCAGAATGGCCATTATTAAAAGTCAAAAAACAGTAGATGCTGGTGTGGATGCAGAGAGAAAGGAACACTTCTACACTGTTGGTGGGACTGCAAATTAGTGCAGTCTCTATGGAAAACAGTATGGAAATTCTTCAGAGAAATAAATACAGACTTATCATTTGATCCAGCAATCCCACTATTGGGTATCTACTCAAAGAAAAGGAATCATTTTATCAAAAAGACACCTGCACTTGAATGTTTATTGCAGCACTATTCATAAACACAAAGATGTGAAATCAACTTAAGTGCTCATCAATTCATAAATCGATTAACAAAATATGGTGTATATATATATATATATATATATATATAAATACACCATGGAGTACTTTTTCAGCCATAAAAAGGAATGAAATGTCTTTTTCAGCAATTTGGAGGTAACTGGAGACCGTTATCCTAAGTGAAGTATCTCAGGAATGGAAAAACAAACACCACATGTACTCTCTAATAATTTGGAACTAATCGATGGGCACACATAGGCACAGAGAGAAATAAAAGTCATTGGAAATCAAGAAGAGGGGAGGGGACCCGAGGGGAGGGGACCAGATGGGAGGGGTAAAAACCTAACAGGTACAGCGAAGGCTATTCAGGTGATGGGCACACTAATAGCACTGACTTAAGCATTACAAAAGCTATCCATGTAACAAAAACATCTGTACCCCCTTAATATTTTGCAATAAAAAAGGGATATAGAAAATAAGAAAATATAGTCAGTGCACACACACACACTCACTAGTATAATTAGAGTGTGGCTTCCTTTGGTCCACTCATTTCATTACTCTTTCATCAGCTTTACCTCTTCTCCCATTCTCTTTGCTTTTTTGAGCCATAACATTCATATTCCCTTTCAGTAATTGTAGTGGGATTCAGAGAAAAAGCAGACTAAACTTGTGCATTCAATCTTCCAAATTTAACTGGAAAACACTCCAGTGTGACATTTGCTGGTGCCCTGAAGCACCGCCACAGAGACTTATCTGCTGCCGATTTAGAAAACTTCACCATATAATGAAGAACTTGTATAACTCCAAATTGCCCCGCATCTAAGCATCACCAGGAATGCAAGAATGCATGACAACCCGATGACCTAAGGGAGGGTAGGCTCTTAAAGTTTGACCTAATTTCTACCCAGCTTCCCCCACATTGATTTCTCTTTGTTGTTCTCCTGTAGGGTGTGCACCTCTGCCTACCCAGGGTGCTTGTATCTCACTGCTAGAAGTAACCTGCCACTTTAAAAGAAAAAAAAGCCACTGAGTGACCTTCCTTAGGAACGGGTTGCTAAGCTGGTGTTTTCGCTCTGAGACATGGCTGCAGCTTCCCGGGGAGGAGCCCAGGGGCGTCCCCAACACTCAGCATTTCCCTTCGGACCCTTGGAGAAGATTCAGCAGCACGACCAGCCCTTTCCACTTCCATCCCGGAAAGCAGAATCTGCAAAGTGCCTTTTGTAAAGTTTCTGAAGGTAAATCAGTCCTTAACGGGACCAGGGCTGCAGCAGTGGTTTCCTGTTTTCAGTTGCGGGGCTGGGAGTTCAGCCTCTCCATGAGAATGGATTTCATGAATTGTAAATGTGGGGGTTGGAGATTCTCATCATTATTTATATTTTTACTTTCTGGAATGGGAACGTAGACCGTTACTTGGTGGCTTTGATTTGAGCTGCTGTCTGGTGTCTGGTTTCCAGCAAATGTAAGTCCGGTACATCACAAGCCCTGAGTGGAAATCCTCTCTGACCACCAGTGTGTGAAACATTGGTTCCATGTTGCGTTTCTGGGCCTTTTAATTCAAACTTGTTCAGGGGAGAAGCACTAGTTACTGCAAGCTTCACTTTTCTTGGCATTAGACAGAGACAGAGAGATTAACCACAGGTCTGAGACTCGCTTTGCTTTCTAAAAAACTTTATGAAAATCTAACTGGCTGCAACTTAAACTGATTGTTTCCCTTCACTGCAGAGGTGCTATGAAAAGCCAATAAAGTGTAATAGGAAATATATGCTTGCTATTGCATTTTCATATAGCCATTCTTGCAAATAAATTCAGTGCCAGCATGAAATCTCTCTCTCTCTCTCTCTGTCTCTCTCTCTCTGTCTATATGTGTGTGTATATATACGTGTGTGTGTGTGTGTGTGTGTGTCCTAGAGTTCATTTATAGAATCATTCATTCAAACATTTATTGAGTATCAACAATGCACAGGCAATGTATTTAAGTTTAGGGTGTGCAATAATGAATTAGACCAGGTCAGAAGCTCAGAGTATGCTAGAGAGACAGACCTATAAACAGATGATAATAGTACAATGATCTAAGAGCCATAAGAGATTTATTTTAAAAAAAAGAAAAAAACCACTCAGAGCACAGCAGAACTACTTCCAGGGAAGGGCTTCCAGCACTTACTACATCATGTAAATACATTGGCCATATATCACATAGCACAGCTCAAATATGGTTTTCATGTGTACTCTTGGAGGACAATATTTATCAAGCTGACTAAATGGTTCAATAAAGCTATTTGTCACTAACATTATGCTAAGGAAAGCTGCAGCTGGAATAACTTGTGGAATAAGACAATGAATCCAAAAGGGTGTATATGGCACCTCCCCAGGTTTCTGAGGTCCAGGATGGGGCCGTAAATGCTCTCGGGGTACAGGGGAGCAAATACTCATGGGCGTGAGGGCAGGAGGCTTCAGAAGCACTATAAATGGAAGCAGCAAGGCAACTGCCCCAGGCCCGGCTGGAAGGAGGGGAGAAAGCACAAGGGTTATCACCGCCAGAGGTTGCAGGCTAGAACTGAGGGGACAGGGTTTGAACATCACCTAAGTTCTTTCTCATTATTCCTCTTCTTTTCGGCCAGCTCTTTTTCCTCCTCAGCCCTTTCTTCCACTGTCCCTCTCTGCTTTCACCTTTTCTTAATAATAACACCTACCAGTATTAAGAGCGTGGTCCATGCTATGCGTTTCACTACACCCATCCTATCCCTTGTAAGTAATCACCCTTCAAGGTAGGAAGTCTGATTGAAATTTTACAGAAATGTGTCTCAGAGAGGGGAAGGCATGGATCCTGTATCACACAGCAGATAACTGCAGTTGGAATTTGAACCCAGCTCCATGTAATTTTTGGCAAAGTCCTCACTCTTTCTTTAAATCCATGTTTTCACTGTTCTGGAGTAAGACGTGGATATCATATTATTAATATTTTTTAAGTAGCCAAAGTGGACATGTATTGTATACAATGCAACCTTGTTCCTATACCTTCATTCCTTTTTCACTACACCCTGGAGAATTCATCACAGGGTCTTCTAGATATGGCTCTGATTTGCTGACGACCCTTAGGAATAGTCCATTTGTTCAGATGAAGGTGTCAGTACTTTTCCTTGAAAAATGTGTTTAGTTTTCTACACTGAATTAAATAAATCTTGACTTAACACAGCCTAAGCCCTTTCTCAGTGGTGCAATGCTTTACAGCTTTCAATTGCAAATATTTCCAGAATAGTGTGCTGACATAGAATAGTTACTGATGTCGTTGCAAAAGCAAGAATAAATGTTGAGATGAAGGGCAGACTGGAGAGGGGGCAGACTCTAGAATTGCAAAGTCTTCGGTTCACGTTCTGAATGTGACATTTAATGATAGCTACAATCTTGGACAAATCATGTAACCTGTCAGAGCCTCAGTTTCCTCATGGACCAATTGAAGCAGGTACCGCTAAGCCAGAAGGGTTATTGCGAGGACGAAAGAAAACACATATAGAGAGATAGCACAAAATAAGTGTGCAGTAAACCATGGCTACTTTGATGTTACCAATAGGAACACATTAGCAAGTGCTCAGTGAGTATGATGATGACAAGCTGCGTATTAAAGTTGGCAGGATTGATTTATCTTTTCTTAGCAACAGTGTTCATAGAAAAATAAAGTTCGGTGTCATTTGATTTCCTTAGAAACTCATTTAAAGGTAATGATTAGAAAAGAATGAAGAGCAAGGAAAATAACCCTGTTACCTTTTTCATTTTCTATTTCTACTTTTTTCTCTTATATACAGTATTTTTTACTTTCTAGAGAACCTATTACAGTTTTAGTTACTAAAATATTTCACAGCTGTTTCTTTTCCAGTTCATAATGACCAGAGTTGCTTATTAGACAGCTTTTGTGTCCTTTTGCATTTGATTTTTATGACCTACCTCCTCATTCACTCTAGGTTACCTTCTCACCTCTCTATTTTCTTAACTGCTTTCCTTGTTTCCCTTCCTCTATTTTTTGTACCCTGGGAGGACGTGTGTACAGGAGACAACACAATTTCAGGCGCTTTATTTCTCCTTAACATGCTAATTCCCCAGTAGGGTCAGCGAAACCTTGAGCACCTCAGATGAGCTGCTTACATGACCTGACCGAGTCCCAGCTAAGATTTGGATTCCATGGATATTAGGAAGGGCTTATGATTTGTCAGTCAGGCGCCTGTTGTTTCTCCACGTTCTCCCGTTTAATCTTCACAGCAGCCTAAAAAGGACAATGGAGCTGTAAAAAGCCCTGGAATGTGGCCATGGAGATGCAACCAATAAAAGTAGTGGCTTAGTCATTCATTCGACAAATATATACTGAGTGTGAATTGCGTGCCATAGTCCTAGGCTCTGCGGGTGAATGATAAACAAAATAAGGTTCCTGCGCTCTTACAGCTATATTCGAATGAGGACGGGCACATTAACAAGCAAGTATATATGTTGAGTGGTGATAAGTGCCGTGAAAAAATAAATCATCGTAAGCCAGTTAGGAGTCTCAGATGGGTGCTGGGAGGAGGCTGTCACTGTATTGTGAAGGGTCAGGGAAGAGCTCTCTGATAAAATGAAATTTCAGGACAGACATGAAGGAAGTGAGAGAGAGAGAGCCATGCTGCTATGTTGGGAAAAAGAATTCTAGGCAGAAGGAACGGCAAGTGCAAAGGCCCTGAGGCAAGAGGATTCAAGTGCAAATCATGCAGGGCTTTGTATGCCTTTGAAAGGATTTTGGATTTTACTATGTTGACAAAGGGAAGTCAATGGAGGATTTCGAGGGGAAGAATGTCATGATGTCACTCAGATTTTTAACAACCCACTCTGACTTCAATGCGGTAGGCAAGCAGTGTGGGAATCTGAGAAATTAGGAGGCTCTTGCAGTCGTCTTCATGAGAGAAGATGAGGATTGACCAGGGTGGTAATGGTGGAGGTGCTTAGAAGTGATTGAATCCTGAATATAATTTGAAGCCAAAGTTGGCGGGACTTCTGAGGGATTGGGTGTGGTGTGACAGGTGAGAGTGAGAGAGGGTTAAGACTTACTGCCAAGGTTTTGGGCCTGAGCAGAGTGGATTTCTGTTTATTGCAACAGGGAGATCGCAGCACAAGCAGGTTGAGGGGTCAAAGCAAGGAGCTTCATTTGGGGCATGCTCAGTCAAGGGAAGGTGTCCATCAGGAAGTTACGTATTTGAGTCTGGAGATCTGGCGCGGTGTCTGAACCCAGGAGGCAAATTTGGCAAGTATCAGGATACACATGGTATTTAAAGCCAAGAGACAGGAGGAGATGGCCAGAGGAGTGAGCACACACAGAGCTGAGCCCTGGAGCACTCCCGTGTTTCGTGTTCCGGGCAATGAGGAGAAACCAGCAGAGGCGATTGATAAGGAACAGCCAGTGGGCAGGAGGAAATCCAGGAAAGAACTTATTCCAGAAGCCAAGTGAAGAAAGTATCTCAAAAGAAAGGGACAGGTCGCTTTCATCACTGAATGCCTCTGACAAGGTCAAGAAAGATGAGGATTGAGAAGTGATCACTGGATGTGGCAATGCAGGGGGCACTGGAGATACTGGCAAGAGCAGTTTCAGGGCATGCTAGACCCCCTCCCCCCAAAAAAAAGATTGCAAAGAGAGGGAATGTTTTTGAGGGGTTTTCCTATAAAGGTTGAAAAATTGAGCAACAGCTAGAAAGAGAAGGAAAGAGAGGGCTTTTTTAAAGGAAGGAACAAATTATGGCACCTTTTACACTCACAGGAATGAGCCAATGGAGTGGGAAGAAATGATTATCCAGGCAAAAGGGGGTGGGGATTGTTGGGGTCAAAGTCCTGGAGGAGGGGACAGTGATGCAGCCCAGTGCACAGCAGGGGGGGTGGGCAGAGGGGACCAGGGGTGATCTGCAGCAGTAGGTGGAAGCCAAGGGAGTGACGTGACTCAGTGAGGAGGGGCAGAGGGGCACGTGGAAGTCCTCTCTGTTCTCTTCTCTTTATTCAGTGAAATGAGAGCCAAGGTCAAAGGCAGAGAGTGAGGAGGGGCAGGAGAGAGGAGAAGTCGTGGAAGAGTCCTTCCAACGAGGGTCTACTCCAGGGACAAGTAAAGCCAGGGTTCTGCAGACAGAGGGGTCTAGCATCCTTCCTTTGTCTGCTGGTGCTTAGATTTCCACCAGTCCTGGGTCTGCAGGTGTTGCTGGGGCACAGAAAGTCTACTCAGCACAAACACTTCCCTCACATCAAGGCCAGCTTCATACGTGTCCACAGTGAGAAGAATGACATTTCATCGATTTCAAAATGCCTAACTTTGTCATTGTTCTTTTTCAGTCAGGGATCCATTGCAGCCAAAATGAATCCCAGGGAAGAAAAAGTAAAAATAATTACAGAGGTAAGTGGCAGTTTAGCTGCTCCTAGGAACGTGTGTTTGTGTGTGCATGCTCATGTAACACATGTTTGTGAACAAGGTGGGCCAGCAACAGCATTTATTGCACATGTTAAGAGGAAAAACTTTAGACAAATTAAATCTAACAAAGTTTAATTGGGCAAAGAATGATTTGTGCGTTGGACAGCCCTCAGAACCGGAGGAGGTTCAGAGAGCTGTGCTCTGCAGCGTCTATGGATAGAGAGTGGAAGTGAGGTCCAGAAACAGCTTGATTGGTTACAGTCAGTGTTGCCGTAATTGAACATGATCTGATGTGTTGACTACCTGTGACAGATTGAAGCTCAGCTGCCGTGATAAGCTGAGATTCAGCTATGTGCTACAAAAACATACCCCTAAATTAGGCTTTCAGTTAGTCTCCTAAGTTAGGCTGCAGTTTGCTGTGTAAGGACTCAAAGTACAGCTGCATCCTCGGGTCAAGTTTAGTTTAATTGCACACTTACTATGAAATGCACATGGAAGCTGCTATGTCAGGCATGTGGTGGGGTGGGGGGTGAGTATGGTGAGGGAAATGCAACCTTGCAGGCACTCCAAGATCTCACCTCTACCTGAATGCCCTGAAGCTGTTTTGTCACCATTTCTGAATTCCAACACATGGTAGCTCTGTTACTACCTATAACTGGGCCCAGCTCTGCCTGAAGCACACTGATTTCTGAAGAAATTCAAAATGAAGATTACTATTGTAGATTATAGCTGCTAATAAACTCCTCTGCTCATGGAGTCCTGCTATTTCTAACTCACTGTGTACAAAAACTCATGAAAGCAATGCCCAGACCAGAGAAGGGAGGCTGTCTACAATTTGGAGACTGAAGACCACTGAATAGAAGAGAGACTTCTTCCTAGGCTCAAGGGTTCACCAGCTTAAGACCACAGAGGCAGAAATGGAGACGGAAATAGAGATGATACGCTGTTTCCAATGTAGTGCTTCAAGAAGCCTGAGGGAACCCATTATAAAACCATGCAGATTTGCTTTAAGCAAGATATCAAGTACTGGCAAAGCACATAAATCTTTATTTGCTTATTCATTCATGCGGCAGATATGTTTGGTGCCTCCAGTCCCTGAACAAAACCCTGTGCCCTCATGGAATTTACATTCTATCTCATTGGAAGTCCTACGGGAGGGGTTTCCTATTGTTCAAGGATCAAAACGTTACTGGAAAGCAAAAGATGACCTAGACTTCTCACAAGTCCATTCTTAGCCAATAAAAACTTAGAATTGAATTAAGAACCATACATACACATACTTGCACACCTCAATGTTTTTATCATCTTGTAGCCTAGATTGGTGAATATCTGAGCTAAGAACACTCCCGATCTGGTAGACCCTGAAGAAGGCCAGAATGAGGCTGGTGCTTCTACTCAGAGGATGAGCCAAGAGGTCAGGCCACACACACCAAGGAAAAGCCCATACCAAGCCCATGCTCTGGTTGGGACCTCAGTTCTCTGCTCTGTAATTGAACTTTATGTCTTCCCTAACCCTAGTGGCCAAGGGGAGTAAGGAGTAGCTGCAGTCTGGTCCAGCAACCTGCATGACATTTCTTTGAAAGCTTGTATCTTTAAAAATCCATGTTGTGTGTTCCAACTTTGTTTCAGTATAAAAACAAAAAATTTCCAATTTTAGGGGGGAAGCAAACAGTCTAATAAATTTGCTGTGCCAGGGAGAAGTTCTGTGTTTATTTTGCCTAGAACATAGTAAGCGCTCAATAAATGTTATATGCATGAATCAGGACCTAAAACAAAGGCAGCTCCAACATCATCTCATTTATGATGTTTCAGTTTGGACACAACTTTTCAAGAACATGTCTATTTTGAGAAGAATGGGTGGTGCTGGCCACTTAGATTGCATTCATGGTCCGTCACTAATGCTCTGTTAGTGGATGGAGGCCCAGGGTCAAGATGGTGACTTTAATTTGATACCTAAAAGTCATACCCCTCTTCCTCTCTTAAGATTCTCTCCCTCTTCCATTTGCCTTTTAACAAAGGAGTTCATTGAAAATGATGAGGATGCAAATGTGGGAAAGCGGAAGAAGAATTCAAAGGTGCAAAGACAGCCAAGAAAGAAACAGGTAGGAAGTGAGGAGAACTGTGTCTGTGTATTGTGTCATCCATCAACAACTGTCTGCACCCTCAGGGGCCACACAGAATCCACCAAGGGAAGGTCCCTCCCGTGGGTACCAACTTTTGGCCTGCTCTGGAGGACTGTGAGGCAGGGAGGCAGATGGATGGTCCAGAGTGTAGGACTCTGGTGTGGGGTCTCATAGATTATCCTCACAGTAAGGCTGGGGTCCGTGCTTGGAGCATTTTTCCTCTAAGTTTTGTCCTGTTTCCCGAGAGAGACATTTTCATTGAAGGCCATGAACTAAAATAGGCAGTAGATGGCAGTACAGGATTACAAATCTTGGAGAACTCCCTCCCTTTCCAACTCCAAGCCTGAATCCCGCCTTAGTCTAAGCCAGAGACCAGCTCCTCCCCCGCCTCCCTGCAGGAGTTCCCCTCTAGGTTGGGAGCATCTCACCTGGGGAAAGGTAAACCTTTTCGAGGTAAGTCAATTCCCTTCATGAGGAAATGTTATCCTCTGAGAAGGGAGGCAGGGAAGCGGCTCTTGTGGACGGGCAATTTGCTTGCAAAACTCGAGATGCCAGCAGGAAAGAGGAGGGTGAGAAGCGCCATTTTGAGCCAGCAGTCACGTGAAGGGGCTGCCTGCAGAGAGGGGTGGCCAGAGGAGGAGGGGAGGGTGCCGGAGGGAGAGCCCAAGGCAGGGGAACCTCCCTCCCTGCTCCCTGCTTGCCCAGCACACTCCTGTTGGGGTGAGCCAGGCAGAGGAGTGGCTTCAGCCTTTCCTGCAAGCTGGGATGGAGCCGCCCAGCGGGTGGAGAGGCACTGCCCAGCCACGTGGGCCAGGCTCTACTGCCGCTCTTGGAGACTGGGAGAGTCCCACAGCCAGACGCAATGCTGAAGCTTTAACCCCTTCCTGCAGGGTCAGTATGCGGCTCTGCAACCCAGGGCATGGGACCACCGAGGCAGCAGATGAAAAGTGTCAAGCCCTGAGCTGTAGAGTCACAGGCACAGGGAGTCGCAGGTGACCAGGGCTTAGACTGAACAGGAAGGAAGGGGAGAAGGGAGTAGAATAGCTCTCAATTGCTGAGCACTTAGGGACCAGGCTTGGAACTTTACAGGCATCGTCTCTATTGGGGCATGGCAAGAAATCTAGTTCAGGCTTTTTTTAACCCCAGCTGCAATTCCGAATCACCTAGGGAATACTTAAAGATGCCTTTAATAAGGCACACCCCAGGCCAGCTATTTAAATCAGACTCCTGTGCTTTGCACAATGCCTCGTTTATACAGGCATCCTGGTGAACTGGCTCTTTTTATTTTCCTTCTCTTACAGGTGAGAAAGCAGTGTGTAAGGAAGTTAAATAACTTGCACAGAGTCCCACAGTCAGTCTGAGTCTGGAGGCAAGGTTTAGTCTGCCTAGCCCCAAGGGCATCACTGCCAACTTGGTTCACTTGTTTCCTCCTCTGAGAGTTTGGGGACGGAATCACAGGCTATTCTTGGGGGCACCCAAAGGGTAGACTCAATATTTGCCTTGGATCATCCAGTGACACTTTCGCTGCTGTTTCCAAACTACTTAGAGTTGGAAACAGATTGTTTGATTACAATTTTCCTCTTTCCCTTTCCTCCAAATTACTGTAGAGCTCTATACATTTTACCTAGAAAACCTGAAAATCATCATGTTATTTTGGGATGCCTTGGTAGTTTCACAAACTTCCTGGAGAAATTTGGGTGTGGCACCACATCTTTGGGGGGTGCCCATGGTGACTCAGGTGACAGGGACTACAGATCTGGGTAGTACTCAGGCTGTCCCCTCATTGGTGACCCACCATCCCAACAAAGGAACTAAGTCCACTAAAGCCCTGGAAGTCTGAACCTCTGACCTTCTGCCCACAGCCGCCAACCACTGGCCCTGACAAAATGGTGTCAGAAGAATCCCACCTTGGCAACCAGCAGGAGCCGGCACAGGACAAGCCCCAGACTCGCCTTCTGAGTGTGACAGCCCGGCGGGGCCCACGCAGTAAGTGTTACTGTTCGATTCAGCTGGTACTTGTTAACTGCCTACTGTGAGCTCAGCTCTGAGCAATATGAGGGGTTTTTGTGGATATTTTCCATGCCTGGCCACGGCTGCTCCACCATACTTTGCCCCGGCTCTGCGGGTGCTATTCTAGGTTAGTGTCTGCCTGGGACACAGGACACAGAGCTTACGGATGTGTTTCCATAACCAGGTAAGTTAGGAAACATTCATTGGAATGAAAATTAAATATGTGGAAATTCAAAAGGAGGATGACCTAGTTAGGGAAGACATATGTCAACCAAGTGGGGCTGGAATCGGATGTTTGGCAGAAAGGATGGAGGTTTCTGAGGCTCTTGGTGACCTTGCCCTTGAGGACATCTACGCTTCTCCCCCCACACACTCCCTTCCCCCTTCCAAGACCCTTGGTCCATATATTACAGCATTTACTCTTCCTGGGTTCGGGAACATCATTAATTATCTGCTCAGTGTAGGAGAATAAGGACTGCTGACTTGTTTTTCATAAAAAGTGGATTAGGCGGGAGGAGAGGTGTTACACTTTTCCACTGTTACATAAGTGTTACACTGTTGTTACACTATTGCCCTGTGGCAGAGCTGGGGAATAAAGTAACTGTTGGAAATTAGAGGACTTTGGAAGCCAGAAGATTCTTAGATTGGAAAAATGTGGTTCCAATCTAAGAGCAATGATACAATGAAAGCTGTTACGAATTAGTAAAAACAGAACCAAAATTTATCTCATATGTCTGTTTCTTTTTCTAACTGCTCAAAATTATTTATTATTTAAGATTACAATTTGTCAGCTCAGGCTGCCATAACAAGATAGCACAGACTGGGTGGCTTAAACAACAATGTATTTATTTGTCTCATAGTCCTGGAGGCTGGAAGTCTGAGGTTAGGGTGCCGCATGGTAAGTTTCCAGCGAAGTCTCTCTTCCTGGCTGGTTGGTGGCCTCCCTCTTGCTGTGTGCTCTTCTTTGTGCATGCGTTGGGTGAGGGGGTGGCTCTGGTGTCTCTTCTTACAAGGACATTAATTCTAATCCTGTCAGGGCTCCACCCTTAAGATCTTATCTGACTTTAATTACCTCCTATAGGCCCTATCTCCAAATATAGTCACGTTAGGGGTTAGGGTTTCAACATATAAATTTGGAGCGGGAAACATAATTCAGTCCTTAGCACAACCATTGGATATTTAATTATTTATTTTGAAATCAAGGGAGAAAAATGCCAGAGGAAGTGGCCAGTAATAAAGGCTCTGTGGCATGAAAAATGGAGTATTTATCTCAAAAATGGGGAAAATATTATCCACTATGACTATGGGGGTGATTGTGAGGATTCATTCAAAATATAGATGTGGAAGTATTTTAAATATTGTAGAGCATTAGATAAATGCACAATAACAAAGGCGTCTGAGGGTGAGATGAGAGACTTAATCTGTGCATTAGTCAAAAAGAAAAAAGGCAACATTATTTCTGACTTGGAGAAAGGGGACATATGGAGTAGATACAAGGCTAAGACTTGCTGCTTGAGCCAAGTCATGCCCAGTCCATATCTGGGCAGCCCTGCATGGAGCTGAAAGCTGTTGCTGATTTGGCAGCACTGGCGGACCAAAATGTAGAGAAAACATCCTTAGGAGTGAGGGGTGGAGTGTCTGATGATAGGGAGCCTTTGTGGCCAGGCATCAGTCAGAAATGAGAAGTCAAAACCAGCAGAAAGTCAGAGTCTCAGAGTCAAGATAGCAGAACAGGTATTTGTTGTAATAGATCAACACACTTTAGAGCAGGGGATAGACAGGAAACAAGGATCAATGAGTGGTGGGAGAAACATGGCAAACTGTGGAGCTGCCCTAGGCAGGGCAAGCGTGGCCGGGAAGGTGACAGGAACAGAGCTCAACAGTGTGTAGGAGTCTCATGGGAGAGAGTGGGGTGAAGAGCATCCCAGAGGAGGGCTTGGAAACACACAAGTGTGTGTGCGGAGAACACCAGTGGGTCAAGGGCAAGGTGGAAACAGCAGTATCTTTTATGACCTAGGTTTGGAAATCACATGCCAGTGCTATTTGTTAGAAGCATGTCCCTAAATCCAGCCCACATTTAAGGGCTCATCTTTTGAAGGAAGGAGTGTCAAAGAATTTGTGGATGTATTGTAAAGCTATCACGTTAAAACTTTCTTTAACAGTTTCTTTAAAAACTTTCTTTCTTTAAAAACTTTTCTTTTTCTTTCTTTAAAACTCTTCTTTATCTCACTTTTGTACTCGGATCTCTGTAATAAGCATTATATAACATCCACATTGTCTTTATTTCTGGGGTCTGAGGCCCTATGCAATTTTGACCCTTTCCATTGGATCTTCCACTCTTCTCCAACCTGCCCTGCTTTGGTGGACTCCTCCCTGGCCTCCGAATGCCTCCTGACCATCAGAGCATCTCCAGCTTTGGTTCCCACTTAAAAAAAGTTCTCCACCTATCTCTTTATTAAGCTTGTGACTGAAAGACAACCAAATTGTAGCAATTAAGACCACAGGCTTTGGCATCAGACAGGTGTGGGTACCAGTCTCTACCTGTCTTACTCCCTTAGGCAAGTTCCCCAACTTCCCTAAACTTCAGTTTCTTTATTTGTAAACTGAGGACAAGAATAGAATGCCTCCATACTACCACAGAGTTTATATTCGAGTTGGGGAAGGGATGAGGGGGAAAAGAGAATACAAATGAAACAAACAGGATAAATATACGGTAGGGCAGGTGTGAGAAGTGCTATAGAGAAAGCTAAAGAATGAGCTGAACAGGACTGCAGTGGGAGTGAGAGGAAGGGGAGCTACTTATAAGAGGAAATGAGAGATGTCTGAGGGGAGAATGTTTCAGGCAGTGGCCTTAAAGCAGGAATGTGCTTGGTATGTTTAAGGAACAGCCAGGAGGCTAGGGCAGTTGAAAGAGAGTGAGCAAAGAGGAAGAGGAAGGACATGAGATCACAAGGGAAGAGGGGAATTGTGCCCAGCCTCGTGGGCCCTCAGACCTTCAATCTGAGTGAGATTAGCATTGCTGGAGGGCTCCATCCCAGGACCTATATGAGACTAAGGCTGAAGGCTTCTGTGCTAAAAGTAGAGTTTGGAAGGGACAAGGGCAGAAGCACAGAGACCACCTAGAGGCCAACAGCAAAAATCCAGGTGGGAAATGGTGGGGAATGGGATCAGGGTGGTAGTGTAAGTGATGGAAAGAAGTAGTGAGAATCCAGGTATTTGGAATGCTCCCACCATGGGCACCAGCAGAATTCTGCCCAGTATTGTGTTCTGCTGTGACAGGGCAGCACTAAGTTCCAGTGCGAAATTTCTCACTTGCTTTATTCTCCCTCTCCCAAGCACACAGATTCTCCTTCCATGCCGGTTGCCTGGGGTTGGGGAGGAGTGATGTAGGCAGTGTTGGACTGTTCTTTCTACCCTCTTCAATGCCACTTTCCTTGTTACTATGTTAAAACTATTTACTGTGATTGCTCACCTGATTTTTTTTGGTTCTTATAAAGGTGTTTTCTTGTGCAAATAATTGCTCAACTTGTTACCTCTGTAGGAAGGGTGATCATACAGAAGTTTCTCAGTTTAATGTAGCCCCATTTGTCTATTTTTGCTTTTGTTGCCTGTGCTTTGGTGTCATTTCGAAGAAATCATGGCAAAATTCAACATCAGGAAGGTTTTCTCTTAAGTTTTCTTCTAGGAATTCTATAGTTTCAGGTCTCATGCATAGATCTCTAATCCATTTTGAGATAATTTTTTTGTATATGGTGTGAGGTAAGGGACTAACTTCATTCTTTTGCATGTGGATATTCAGTTTTCCCAAGACTATTTGTTGAAGACTGGCCTTTCCCCATTGAGTGGTCTTTGTGCCCTTGCTGAAGATCATTTGATCATATGCCCAAGGGTTTATTTCTGGGCTCTCTATTCTATTTCATTGGTCTCTGTGTCTGTCTTTATGCTAGTACCACACTGTTTTGATTACTGTGGCTATATAATATGTTTTGAAATCAAAAAATGTGAAACTACCAACTATCTTCTTTTTTAAAATTTTTTTAGCTATTCAGGGTTCCTTGATATTCCTTCAGAATTCTAGGTTCGATTTTTCTATTTCTGCCAAAAAAAAAAAAGAAATGTCATGAGGATTTTGATACAGATTTCAATGAGTCTATAGATTATTTGGGGTAGTATTGACATTTGAACAATAAAGTCTTCTCATCTATAAACACAGGGTATCTTTCCATTTATTTGTGCCTTTAATTTCTTTTAGCAATTTTTTATAGTTTTTGATGTACAAGTCTTTTGCCTCCTTGGTTAAGTTTATTCCTAAGCATTTTATTCTTTTTGATGGAATTGTTTTCTTGTTTCATTTTTGGATTGTTCATTGTTAGAGTATACAAATGCAACTGATTTTTGTGTGTTGATTTTGTATCCTATAACTTTACTGAATTCTTGATTAGTTCAAACAGTATTTTGTGGAATCTTTAAGGTTTTTTATATGTAAGATCATGTCATCTGTGAGCAAAGACAGTTTTTCTTCTTCCTTTTCAATTTGAATGGCCTCTCTTGTCAGGCTTAGTTGTAAACATGAAAGTCTTCCCTTAACATTTAAAAAGGGGTGGGGGTGCAAGGGTGGTTCAACATATGAAGATGCATCAATGTAATACATCACATTAAAAGAATGAAGGACAAAAACCACATGATCTTCCCAATTGATGTAATTTTTTTTGGTCCTAATTGCTCTAAGACTTTCACTATTCTGGTTTTTTGGGGGAGCTTGAGGGCTTGTTGGGGTTTTTGATTTTCTTTGAGACAGGTCCTCACTCTGTTGCCCAGGCTAGAGTGCAGTGGTGTCATCATAGCTCACTGCAACCTCAAACTCCTGGGCTCAAGCAATCCTCCTGCTTTAGCCTCTTGAGTAGCTGGGACTATAGGCATGTACCACCATGCCCAGCTAATTTTTTTTTTTTTAATTTTTTGTAGAGACGAGGATT